CCCCCCCCATCCCCAAAAGTTTTTCAGCAGATTTGGGCTGTACTCAGCAAGCGCAGTACAGCCCCCAACTCAGATTTGAAAAAGAATCAGTGGATGGCTGTTTTCTGACTGGTCGGCAGACCACCGACCGGTCGGCTGCAAAACGGTAAGCGGTTGGGGTCAGCGGTCGGCAGGTATGAAACCCTGCTGCCAGGCACGAATGGCGCAACTGGACAGGTTACTCAGAGGCTTATATCCAGACAGCTCGCTGCGTGAAAGCTGTATCGTCGTTTATCCTTTTGCGTTTTGTTCTTTTAAACCTTTTTCCTTTCCCCTACCTGCCTTACCAACCAGCCAGGACAATTTATTCTGAATCATCTTCCCAAATGAGCCCCCATGCTTTCTTTGCTTCCAAAATCGCTGATCACGATCTATCCACCCAAACGGATATGATCCAACGGCTGGCACGGATTGCACCAGCCAAGGCAGAAAGCATGAAGAGCATCATGGACCACGAGAGAAACAAGCCTTACTGCCATCCACCTACTTTATTGTGAATCAACATGTCTCCTCCTCCTCTTTTTGGCAAACTCGGGCGAAGTACCACCTGGCCTGGAAGGCCCTACAAGGCCCCCGAAACGGTATTAACATTTTTGGGGGAAAAGGGGGGTGCGAACGGGAAGAGCCCCTTCTTTGTTTTTCTACCCGGATAGGCCCAGGTGCCCACCTTTTTTGTTTTTCTACCAGGAGAGGCCCAGGTGCCCACTTTTATTTCCTTGAATTCAAAGGAAAGGGCCCCCATCATAACTTTGTTGCTTGCGGAAGCTACGCCCTCAAACCATTTGCAAGGAACATGAGTATGGACGAAGCACAGAAATCCAGAATGCAAAATCACACTGAAGTCCAAGTAGTCAAAGCCAAAGCAGATAGCACATGGAACYGAGTAACCATCCAATTGAGAATGATMCAGAAGAATCGTGASTCAATGTCCATGTCCAACAGGGCAACACCAACAGCATAACCCCAATGTAGCTCTCYCTTGTGAATGGCGCCAGGCGCCCTATCTACTCTACAGCCTATCCTACAACTACAGCAATGAACAGCAACCAGACAACTTGACTACCAGCGAGTKATGATGTCAACACCAATGCCRACCTCCACCTTCACCAGGTACGTGTCCTCTTCCCCACACTCTCCCTTGTTACCCACACAGCGCCCTTCGCCTCCGAAGTACCACCTTCGCCCTTCCCCCCTCTGCGCCCTCTGCAGCCCGGCTATGGCCGCCAAGCGCCCAGTGCACAGGCAGCGCCCTACCGCCTAGCGCATGCCTGCCTTGCACTACCTCTTAGCGCAGCGCAGCAGCCAGCAGCTCGCATTTGCGCAGCGTGCCGGCATTGCCMGCAATGGCCAAGATCCTCGCTGCCTCGCCCTGCTTGCCTATATGCCAGTGCAGCGTGTGGGCGGCCTCCCTTCAGCCTGTGACCGGGGCCCAGAGGCTGAAGCCAACTCAATACAGTTGGGCCCCAGGGCAATGCAGTTGCGCCTCCTTCATCAAGGCCTGCGGCCACATTCAGACCGTGGGCCGATTTCCCTTTGGCATTTTCGGCCTCTCTACCCAGTATGCATTGTCGGMCTCACGTTCGAGTGCCCAGGGCCTAACTAACTCAGAGGCCCTGGGCATTTCAGCATTTGCTGAAATCCGAGACTCGGTGCACTCCAACCAACTGGCGTGCTGCAACTGTATAGACCCCACTTCGTGAAATGTTGGCACAGAGGGCTCTTGTTGATTTGCTGGCCCG